ATGAGAAGTGATGTACTCTAAATACTTTAACAGATTTCTATACAGTATGCATTTGTTACACTGATGTGTAACAAGTGTGGCTCTGTTTTCTTTTTGTGTTGAGCCTGGTTCTAATGTTCCTCTGTTCTCTTGCAGCCTATGGTCTTCGGCGCAATGATGCACAGAGATGAGGCATTTGAAGCCATCTACACTCAGTACACGAAGATCATTACTAAGGCTACAGCTATCAACCCTGAGACATAGTAAGACCTTTGCGATGGCTGCCTTAAACACAAGCACCTGAAGGTTCTTAGATGGCTGCTGACTTCAGTTTGAGCTGCTGGTCTTCCCCCATCAGTCACCCATGAAAGTAATTCAGTGATAGTATTTTAGTGATTGATTTTAAATCAGCTGATTCCAACTAATCACTGATTTTTTTTTTTGTCAGAATCAGACAGTCTGTTATTAATCACTGTTTCTGATAACAAATTAACAATACCATCCACAAATGAGAGCACTTTACATCCTCTCTAAGGGTTAGTTTACTGAAAAAAACATTTACAAGAATTGCGTCTCTGTTTTTTCATCTCTGATAAACATCTCAGCATTTCACGTGCGCAGACTTGATATTAAATTAAAAGCCTCTTGATAGCTCAAAGGGTTCAATCCCTCCCATAGTTTTTAGGCTTTTATTGTGAAAAATCTACTGGACGTTTTTGGTTCACATAGTAAAAGCCCGTAGAAGAAGAAGTTTTATAAAGCTTACTTTTACTCCCACAGCTACTTTTACCTGCAGTTTATTGGTTCAGGTTTGTCACATGACCGATTGCAGGCTTTAGTTTACTTTAGTAGCAGCAAATTAAACTGGAAACTTAACTACATTTTGATTTTGTGCTAAAGAAAATTGAATAATAATTTAATTCGCTAGTCAATTAATAAGAACAGTTATTCTATGCCTGCAGCTTTCCCAATATATTAATTTCTTGCTTTTCTGTGTCTTTATCGATGTAATCTGAACATTTTCAGGCTTTGAACTGTTAATCAGACAAAACACAATGTTTAAAAAAAATGACACTGTGCACTCTTGAGAAACTGGACTGGATGTATTTTACTGTTTTCTAATGACTATACAGTTAATCTTAGTGGTAGACTTAATTTGGCCTTTACTCACAACCAAACATATTAATCTGACTTATAAACACTGACTGATGTTAGTCTGTCTGCAGGCAAATTATGAAGGGAGGAAACAGAAAATTAAAAAAGTAGTTTTTAATCTTGTTCTGATTCTGACTCAATATTGTCTAATTGTATAAAAGAACAGCAAAAGGTCCATCAAGTCTCTTGCTGACAGTTCAAATCTTCAAATGTTAAGAGAAACTGATACTATTGTTAAATAGTGTCTTTATAGCTTGCGATGCAAACTTAGGTGGAGGGTTTCATGACTGTGTATTAAACCGCTGGCAAACAAATGTGTTTAAACCTCATTATTATACATTGGTGTCTTCAGGGATTTGTAAACAGTATCATCATATGACTCTGTATTGTACTATTGCAACTAAGCCTTACAGTTAATATGTTGGTGTAAAGTGTTTGTATTCTGTATCAATGTTCAGCAGTTATGTGAGCAGTCTTTGACACATGGAATTTAGTGTAAACCACAGAGTTAGTCTTTTTCTTAAGCTTTGTTTGACTTAGCCAGAAGCTAAATGGCTAAAGCTAATGCCAGTTTAGCAGTTTATGCTTTCTGTTTTACAATTAATGAGCCACGAAACAAAATCCCACAGGGAACTACAAATGCTACATTTTTGTATTTGTTTGTCATTCGATTTCCATCAAGCTTAAAGAAGAATCAACTAAAGCACTAAAAAAAGCACTTTTTTCTTTCATTTCTATTATCTGATAACTTTATTTTGGGGGGGGGGGGGGGGGGGGTTGAGAATGTCTGTTTTTTGTAAGTGACTTAAAACTTCAGACTAACATTTTGTATTTTTGTTTAATTCTGGGTTGAATGTTTTGTTTTTTATTTTTTTGTTTTGTATTTTACATGTTCAATTAAAAGTTTGAATCCCAAATTGATCTCCATTTTATTTAATATTCAGATTTATGGCTTTTGATTGTGGTGTTTTTGTTTCGTTTTTTTTATGTCTTATTAAAAAAAACTTTAATCTGAAATAATTCATTGGCAAAAAATAAACTCTCCAAAATAAGATGTTCTTTTAAATATAAATTATGACAAATTTTAAAAAATAAAATTGCACATGAAGTAGACAGCTTCACTTACTTTAGTTTGATCTCACTTTAATTTCCAAATGTTTTTTCTTTTGTGGGGTTTTTTTTTTTTTTTGGATGCCACTTGCTAATACCATCATGCCTCAGCCAAGTACTCTTTAAAAATAGTTTCCTGACTTTCTTTCAGTGTGTCCTGTTTTTGCTCGGGTTTGATTTTTGCCTTGTTGACGTCACTGTGAACATTTTTCTCTCCTCCTTTTGTGTCTTTTGGATTTGAGGTTTTTATAAAATGGTTTCTTGTATGGATAGGTGTAATGTTTTTTAAATTGTGTAATTTCTATTGTTGAAATGTGATGTACATGTGTTTAAGTAAAATCAAATATGGTACCTTAACAGTGTGTGGCTTTTTAGTGCAGTACCTGCATCATGCTTTAGGTGGCATCACATTTGTGCCTAATATATCGGCTTCACAATGTAGGAACTCCAGCAACACTTAAGGGAAGATGAACAACTGATACAACTTTTATCTCCCTCCACCTTGGAAGTAGGTGAAGTTGTGCCAGAAATGTTTTGCTCTAATATATTGGCTTACCACAGATGTTTTTTTTAAAAGGCCACAAGTGTACATAATAGTCCGATACCAGTCACTTTTCATTTAATTTAACTTTAAAGTATATTGATCAGATGCATAACTCTAGACTTTCACTGTAAAAGAAAAGATGGCCTAAAAATAAAACAATTTTACAGAGATAATAATTCTGTATGGTTTTATACTCTGTATAATTTTCATGTACGTACATTTCCAGTGCATTCTGTTTTCAAAGTCATCGTGGACACTAATGGTAATACATTTAGCTACAGCACAACTCTTGCTCTTTAAACAGTGACTGAAATGTGTTTTCCGATATGCTCTTACGTCTAAAAACTTCAGCTTATTGCAGCTGTTCAATATAAACTTACCACAAACAGTAAAATTATTTCTTTGTTGCTTCTTGTTTATTCTTGTTATTCTTATACAGGAGAGCCTGTTTATTTCCCCTTACATGGTGCTACATTTGTCAGGAAAATGTGGGCTTCAGTATGTCAGCAACAAAACTCAGGTAGGCTGTTCAAATTCAAATTTTATTGGTCACACACACAACCATACACAGTATGACATGTGGAGAAATGCTTATTGCTGTCCAATGCCCAACCAGTAAATGACAGTAAGAACTGACAGTAAGATTTACAGATTACTACAAAATTTACAGATTTTAACTTACAGTAAATTCTTAGTAATTTACAGTAAAAATATGCAAATAACAGTTTACCAAAGAAATTATGAATAAAAATAAATTATAAATTTTAAGAAGTGTGCAAAAAAACAAACAAACAAACAGTGCGTTTGATGATGTGATGTGTGTGAGAGAGTCCAGTCCTACACCTGGTTCAGGACCCGAATAACCTGGGGAAAGAAGCTCCTCCTCATTCTCTCTGTTTTGGCCTTAAGGGAGCAAAAGCACTTCCCAGACCTCAACACTGAGAAGAGTCCATTGTTGGGATGCGAGAGGTCCATCATAATCTTCCTGGCTTTAGTCTTTCACCACTTGGTGTAGATGGACAGCAGGTCAGGAAGCTCTGATAGAATGATGCGTTCAGCTGAGCGCACCACTCTTTGCAGATCCGGTCAGTCCTGCTTGAGGCTGGATGCTGGCTGTGGTTTTTAAACGAGGCTCATTAAGGAGCCCAAAGTGTGCCAGGAAAATTTCCCTCACACCATTACATGACCAACAAGAATCATTTATACAAGCCAGGATGGATCTATGCTTTCATGTTGTGGTTCTTACACTAGCACCTTCTGTCACCACAGAAATTGACACTCACCAGACATGCATAATGGACCTTCCATGACCTTCCAAGCTATATAGTTTATGTCTTCCATATTTCCAACTATATCCATAATCACATACTGTGTATGCTACCATTGTATATAGTATATTATCTTACTTTTTTTCATTGATTGTACTTAATTGTATTTTTGTATTTCCTTCATATATCTGTACCTGAGCTGAGATGACGCAAAAATTTCCCCATTGTGGGATCAATAAAGTCTTATCTTATCTTATCTTATCTTATCTTATCTTATCTTTTGGCAAGCCCATGTGTATGAGCCTCACTTTCCTGTTCTAAGTGAAAGGAGCGGTCCCTATGGTGCTTTGATGCTGTAGCCCATCTGCTCCAAGTTTCTGTGTGTGTTGTGTTCAGAGATGTTCTTTTGGACACCTTGGTTGTAAGCAGTGGTTATTTGAATCACTGTGGTCTATATATGAGTGGTTCTAGCAGGCAGACCAAATTTAGAAGAGAGAGTCTTCATCCACAGATTTTATTATTGTAATCTATTATTCTATTTAAAAAGCAGTAGAGTACCATTACATGTTATGTAGCAGTCCAATGAATACCGTAGAACTTGTAATGAAAGAACTGTAAAAGAATTGCATTTTTAATCTACATTTTATTCAATGCATGCACATCTTTAATTTAAAAATATACAAAGATGAACGAATTTAACTGCTAAGAGTCATTTTTTTAAACTTTTATTACATTTGTATTACTTTCATATGAGCTGTTTTGTTGGGATACTAATTTTTAAAATCGAATTTAAATCAAGCAAAATCATAAATGGTAAATGGAAATTGTTCAGGCACAAGTTTTAGCTAGCTTTTGACTACAATCCCCAGGACGCCACCGGAGACTCCGTCATAGTCTTTAAACCAATAGTGGCGCATCTATGAGTCACGTGACACGCAGCGCAGCAGATTTGAATTATTTGTGAAATTCTCTGCTTCCACGTCGCTGTTTGAATGCGAAGCAAAAAAGATTTTTGAGGTTTCGGAGGAAATAGAGGTTTGTATTTTAACTTGAATAAAACATTTTCTCCATGGAAATTGTTGGACCATAAAATTATCGAAAATGAATCTTTAAATTGTGAGTTTTACGCTCTTGTCCGTTATTGTTTGACATAGGTGGATTGCTAAAGAGCTAACGTTAAAGTTAGCATGATAGTCAAAATGGTCGTTTCTAAATTCGCTGGTTTCACTGTTTGTCAGTGTTGGTGTAAAGTTGAATGTTTTTAGGCTATTGTGATAGTAAATCTTCACGTCTGATCTGTTTTCAGAGACGAACAAGCTTACGGATGGACTGTCGAGCTAACAGCGGTGAGTAAGCATTCAGTGACCGTCAGATATCGTACCGTGTGTTTTTAAGCGTTTCATCACTAATCACTTTGATTGTGTCTCAGTAGATGTGTTCTTTCTGCCTGATGAGAAGTTTGACTTTGATGTTTCTCTGTCGCCTGCCAGGTAAAAATCAAAGAGAGTTTCTATCGAGGTACTGCCAGGAGTTCAGTCACGCACTTTTCTTTTATTTCCGCATTTAAATTCCCACAACGTCCTCTGATTGTCCGGCTGCCAACATCCAGAAGACGTGTTTGACATGTGATCTTGCACTAATAAGGTTTACATGCAGGATTTGATCTGCAGCACAGTATAATAACGGACAATATGTAAGCTAATGAAAACTAAACTGAAATGAGCAAACCCACACAAAAAGTCAAATTGACAAAGTAATAAACTATTAACAAGAATATAAAACAACCATTAAAACTAATGAACAGTATAAAATTAGTAAAACAACATGTGTCCCAATAGTTCTGTTGTCTTCAACTGTAAATAAGTTTAAGTGAATGTCAACAACTTTTGCAAAACTCTGAACATCCTGAGGTATCTTAAAAGTCAGTTTTAACTGAGTAAAAACCATCAAGGAACTCCGCATTTTAACCCTCAACTGTAAAATGCGGATGGGTATTGTCATCACCCTGCTGGCCGGGCAGGATGGCAGTTGACGTGGACATGCAAGTTTCTCTAAGGATACCCTCAATACCATCACCCATTTTAGATGTAAGCTCTGTAATGTATCATATTAGACCTTGAGTTATTGGTTTAAAAAAAAAATCCCTCTAAAGTTTGTTTGGGCGTGTGATTTCTAATTCAAACTACTTAAGTGCATAATATATCTTAATAATTTAAAGCAAAATAAGTTTACTTTGGTTTTGCCTTTATAGCTCCAAATTTAATTTTAGTAATAACTTGAACTCTTTTTCTCTTCTTTTGTTATGTCGGCATGACACGATTGCTCCACATCACTCTTGCTTTATTTTAAGAAATGCTTTATTTTTTTAAAACTGTGTGTAGTCAGCTCCTTGATGTTTAAAGTTTAATTGCTGTGAACTGTTTGTTACTCTTGCTGTGACTTATGCACTAATGTCCTTGTGCTCTACAGCTCTAGGGGTGATGAAGCTGAAGATGAGGTGTTTGTTGGTCCAGTCAGTCATAAAGAGAAGTGTGTTTCCGTTAATGTGGCGTCTCCCCTCGAGAACCATAGCATAACCTGGAGCCCGCTGACGGGAGAACAGCTGGAGGCTGTGTGTCAGGAAGCCCACAGACTAGCAAGTCAGCTGCAGAGCACTGTGTCACACGATGAGAACAGAGACGCCACCAGTGTGACCATGGACACCATGACTGAGCAAGAGGAGTTTGTCGAGGATGCTGAGACCAGACTTGGTCTCCTTGCTCAGACCACCAGTGGAGTCAGCCCAAACAAACGACAGACCTTCTGTGTGCAGGACAGTCCACTGAAGCAGCTGCCGCCCGTCATCCAGCGCCAACTGCAGAGAGGCAGCGGCTCCAGCATCACTTCATCTATCCGCCCCACTATCACCCCAGCTTCGTCTACCCGCCCTACTTCAAAAAGCAGACTCAGCGTCTGCAGCCCTGTGATCCAAGCCAAAGCTCAGCCCAGAACTGCACTTCGAGGGAAATCTGCACTAGGTGTTGCTGTTGTGCTGCCGAGCAAACCAACCATTCCAGTGACTTCCTGTTCAACCAACAAGAGCAGAGTGGAAAAGACCAAACTGCAACCACCCAACAGAGTAAGATTTGAGTTTTTAATTCACCCAGTATCGCTGTTTTCTGGAAGCAGCCTTTGACAGATACCTAATAGGCTTTCTCTGAATCAGTCTTCTCCGAACCCGCCTCTCCTCCCACACTTCCACTACATTTTCATGGCGGTGTGGAAGCGTGTCACATTAAAGGCTTCTCTGTATACCTTTGGCTCTGAGAAGAGAGCGCCGTTTCTGGATCATGTCTTCATATGTATTCCTCCTTGCATAATGTAACTTTGGATTTGGGACAGCAAATGGTTCCATAATTTCTGGAAGTGTTCCTGAGCCCGTGCAGTTTCCATGACAGAATCGTGGGTATTTGGGGTATTTTTAATGCCCGAAGAATACAAGCAGTATTTATTTTCTGCTTTATTCCATGCATGGAAAATGTTTATGATTGATTTCTTTGTTGAACATGCTTTTAAAAAGCAACATTTAAAAAAAACAAAAGATTGTAAACATTTCCAATGAATTTCTTTAAAATGGATAAGGTGCATTTTCGAATAAGTACTTGACACCTTTAATACTTAAAGATACGAACTGAACACTCCTGTTCCTGTTTTAAAAAGCTTGTTGCTATATTTATACATTACCTTTTGTTTTAAAGAAACCATTCAATAGATGCAAGTGTGATGTTACAGTTACATAACAGATTAATAAATTTGTATTAAACCAGTTCATAACGTGATCCTTCCTAGAAAAACTTACAATCTTCTTAAGACTTATTAAAGTAGCAAAAATAAATAGATGAAACAGATTCCTAACCAGGAAGCAAATGTAATAAAATAAACAGAAACACAACCAGAACTGACTTTATATGAGCTTTTCTCCTTTTATTAAAATTTTTATTTTGTGTGTAGATAGTTTAGTAAGAAGTTGTTGGCTTAAAAGCGCCCTATCAACAGATTACAGATGATCTGTTACCTATTACCTGTTTCAGGCAGTGGGCAGTTGGAGGCAAAGCCCGTCTTCTTGTCCCCCTAAAAGGGCGGAGTCGTCTGAGGATTTGCTCTCAGATTCAGCGAGCGTGGCCTCTGACATCAGTGATAGCTCCCTCAACTCCAGTCTGTTGGGAAAACGCGCACTTCCTCGGCCAACCAAGGTAAAGGTAACTGTCTGCATGTTCAAATAGTTCAGTGCAGTGTTTTCGGATTGGGAAAAACATTTACGTTTACTTTGAGTGATATTTACCTGCTGACTTTATTTCTCACTTTGTAAATGAGGTTAACAAAAAACAATAATTATGGAGCTGAAGCGCTTTGATAGGAGTCATGTAGAAGCATCTGAGTCAAGCTTTTTATATTTCCCCCATTTTTTTTTATAGCATAGCCTTTTTAACTATGAATCATTAAAAGAATAATGTGTGAAATCTCATCACTAGATGTCAGTAGATTGCATTCAAATGAATTTTGTTTTCTTACCCCTACCAATTCAAATGCATAATCCTAGCTATGGTGGCCTCTGTATGACAAGCAACTGTCATTGCCATTCAGATGTAGTGAGTAGGCTATCAGCTTACCTCTGCTGTCAATGTTTCCATGTCTGTTTACCCTGGAGGAGGCCATAAATAGTATAGCAATACTGCAACACCTCAGCAATACTGAGGTGAGTTTTTGAGGATATTTTTAAGCTTTGACTTCAGTTTAGGAAAAGGGGATGAGGTGGAGATGAGGGAGGAGAAGAGAGCAGGGGAGGAGGAGGAGAAAGTGATTATCCACATGTACAAATGTTAAATTGTCAGATATCGTGAAAGAGCCATTCAGGATTTTTAAATTAAAAGTAACTTATAAGGGGTGTGGCCAGTCTATAGCCACATACATAAAACACGATTAGGAGGAACAGATGTCCACCTCGCCCACTGTAGTCATGATCAACATAGCAGCTTCCACAAACCAGTGCCCACTCCTCTATATTTTTAATGCATTTTACTATGAACACATCAATTTTTTTGAAAACTTAATTAAAATAATGGGCGGCACGGTGGTTAGCACTGTTGCCGCACAGCAAGAAGATCCTGAGTTCAATTCCAACATCAGGCCGGGGTCTTTCTGTGTGGAGTTTGCATGTTTTCCCCGTGTTTGCGTGGGTTCCCTCCGGGTACTCCGACTTCCTCCCACCATCCAAAGACATGCAGTTTGTGGGGATAGGTTAATTGGATAATCCAAATTGCCACTAGGTGTGAATGTGCGAGTGAATGTGAGTGTGAATGGTTGTCTGTCCCTGTGTGATGGCCCTGCGACAGTGGCAACCTGTCCAGGGTGTACCCCGCCTCTAGCCCTATGACAGCCGGGATAGGCTCCAGCGCCCCCCGCGACCCTGAAAAGGAGAAGCGGAAGCGAATGGATGGATGAATTAAAATAACATTGCTGTATTATTAACTAGAGATGGACTGATCCGATATTACGTATCGTATCGGTCTGACACTGACCTAAATTACTGGATTGGATATCGGAGAGAGATTTAAAAAAAAAAAAAAAGTAATCCGATCCAAAGTATCACAAAATCACCTCACAAAACACGCTGCTTGGCGTAACCCAGCTCAGCGCATTGGAGCAGTATGTGTCACGTGATAGAGCGGCTGTTGTCTGCGAGACCTGTCGGTGGTCTGGTGGAGCATTTGGCGCCTCGCTACATGCTTCCAAACCGCAGCATTTCATCTCAGAGAAAACTATCCCAGAGAAGTAAAGTGTGTAAGTGCATCTCTGAATGTTTGCATAGTATTTCCACATTAAGCTTAACAACTGATATATGGAGCCACAGCTGGACTGGCCATCGAAGTTCCATATTGAGGCGAAAAGGAAGCAATTTGTCCCGTACTTCAGCTAGAATGGGGGGGGGGAAAGGCACAAAAAAAGGCAGGAGTTATTCTGTCTTTGCTGCACAGCTGCCTCTTCTTCTCTCATTCTCTCCCCTCTCTCTCCTGTTGCTACTTCAATCATGAAACTGATCAATGATCAGCTGATCGGCTTTTCTGTCGCAAGTCCCGTCTTACTTGTTTATTTATCACCCACTTTGCACCAGAAAGAGGAAACCAGTGGATAAACAACAGCTGCACATTTAAGCTTGATCAGCTGTTGTTAAACTTGATTTAATATTACTTTCTAGTATCAGATGATGTTTGCTGGAGCCACAGCTGTAAAAGCTGCTGGTCATGATATCGGTTTGGATATGTGGTGAGAGGGAAACATGAAGATGAAACCAGGAGATGTCCTTACTGAATCATCAGAGCTGAACAGGTGATGGAGAAACAGGTTTACCTTTTAGGTGACATGAATGAGTTGAAGGGAAGTTATGAACTGTTTCTGAGACACAAATAACACCAGGATCCTTTTTTATGTAGCTGACAGCTGGTGACTGCAGGGGTGGGTCTAGCAAAGTTTTGCCAGGGGGGCCAGGTGGGGCATTAACAAGGAAAGGGGGGGTACAAAGAAATACTTTTCTTTGTTATTTCATTTAAAATGACTAACTTTTAATAAATAATTATCTGACCAAAGTGGTCATATGATTAAATGTATAGAAATCCATTATTGTATATAGTAACTATTAAATCTAATATACATCCTACTAAGCTATAGTACATCTTTCTTCTGTTGAAGAAAGATGTTGAATCTATATAAATATTGTAGAAAAATAATTGATTTCTGTGCATTTGTTTTATATGTGCATTAAATTAAAGTTGATTAAGCATTGTGAGGTGGAGGGTGGGGGGGTGGTTCTCTAATATTTTTGCTGGGAGTTGGCAACCCTATTAATTAGGTTGTTTAATATTTCTGCTAAGTACTCTTTAATATACCAGAATAGGGAGGATGGTGCAGCTTTAAGTTTATTAGATTGATCAGTTTTGCTGAACTATAAAATATTTTGGGTGCAGTGTGTTTCTTGCATACAAGTATAACAGAATAGCTTTAGTGTTGTTGTTTTTTTAAAACTTCAATATGAACTTGTACAAAATGCAACAACATATTTATAAAAAACAGTTTTATTGATTAAAAAAAATACACTATATCGGCTTCATATCGTTATCGGCAGATATGCAAAGTTAAGATATCGGTATCGGACATAAAGTGATATTGTGCCATCTCTATTATTAACAGGACGTTTTTATGTTTGAGAATTATCGTAGGTCATTTTTAACAATTCAAAGGAAAGACCTTTAAAATACAAACTCACTGCAATGTCTGTAGAAGGTAAACAAAGGTTACGTCTGACCCATAGACTACATATAAAAGATAAACATAGATAAATATGTAAAATCACTCATTTGTTTTGGTCATGATTGTGTTTCCTTCCAGCAGAGTGGAGTGAGGAACCTGTCAGGTGGGAAAGCACAGCGTCTTCAGACCAGGAGAAAGAACACGTCCTCATCATCCTCCTCTGTATCCAGCTTCAACTCCAGCATCTCTCTTTCCCCGGCTAAAGGTATGCTCACTGCACAATGGTAACAGGAGCTACATGCTAGTATGTTTTTGTTTTTTTTAAATAAAAAGGGAATACTGTGAGATCTCATTTTTCCTCTAGTTTAATTCAAAAGGCTAAGCTTTAAAATTTATGTTTTAATTATTATCATTAGCTCATGAAAATCTGAAATCGTCAAAAATTATTAGACGTTTATTATTATTGTTGTTGTTGTTGTTGTTATTATTATTATTATTATTATTGTTATTATTATTGTTATTATTATTATTATTGTTATTATTATTGTTATTATTATTATTATTAATAATAATAAACTTAATTGGGGGAAAAAAGATTTTGAATCAGTCTGTGATGTGGAGGCTTTGGTGAAGCCCAGGTTTTTTTTTTATTGTAGCAGCTTTAAGCTTGTCTGAATTTTTGGGCTGACTGTTTCTCATCCTCTTAAATATCTCATAGACAGTCTGAGGTATTGTCGCAAGGAAGTTCAGGCTCCATCTGTTGGTGGTTTTGGCACTGTATGTAGGTCCTGCTGGAAAGAATATCTCCGTAAAGCTTTTTATCAGATGGAAGCATGAATTACTCTAAAATCCCCTGAATTGATATTGTAGTCACTAGAACACAGTGCAACAACACTAAAACAGAGAGACTGCAAAAGGTTAACATTTGATTTCAGACAACTTGCACTCTGAGTTTACATGTGGTGGGTACATCTGAATGCAGCATTTGAAGTAGGATGAGTGCTATAAATAGGCTTGTGGAGGGAGGTCCTCTAGGTCAGAGTAAATTGGAATGTAAACACAATAAGGTGTTCTCTCCAACTAGCTTAGATTGGTTCTGGTTGGTAGCTTGAAAATGATTTGATCTCTGTCCTGGATGAGTACGTGCGAAGGTTTTATTTGGATGATCGTTTAAAGATTTACTGTACAGCTAAATGGTTAAATATCTACCCTGTTTCACCATCTGTTGCTGCTCTCAGGCAAGGTGAAGTCTACTCTTAACGGGAATCTGAGCAGCTCCACTGGCCCAGCACCCCGCAAAGTGAACAGCCTCAGCAGGCCACGCAGGTCCACCATCTACAGTGCTGCAGAGTCGGTGTCCTCCACTGCCGCTGGCCGCCGCTCAATATCGACACAGGCCAAGAAGCTGTCTGAGGCGGAGAGTGGCAATGATGCCAAATCCACTCCTCACAAGAGCGCTGAAGCCACGCCCCCCAAAAGACCTGCCTCCAACCTCACCACCTCCACAAGTCGGCTGCAGAGCGGACCGAAGGCCAAATCTAAACCTGAGGCGGTGGTCCTACCTACACCAAGCACAGGAGGCAAAGGTGTTCACCATGCAAATGGTGAGAAAGTGATGATTAACTCTGAGATATTTGGACATGACAAATAATGGACTAACATCTAACTCATAAATTGAGTGAAACTGACCTTCTGTCTCGGGGTTAAAAAAAAATCCAGTTTTTGTTTTGTTTAGTTTTTTTTTTCCTTCCCTTTTTGATGGCTTTTGCTGAGTTACCATTGTTAATGTGGGCTTTTTTTCTTCACTGGTGACACTGATGGATCAGCGTGCTCTCAGTGGCAGTATAAATAGTTACATGGCTTTGGTGATGTTAGTTTTTTTGCAACAACCAGTGTAGTGACTATAAACCAGGCTTTGAAAGGGCTTCTTCCTTTCCAAGTGCTACTTGTAGGGGATTTACTGATTGATGGGGTTTTCTCTTTAATTTTGTCAGGTGTTTGCCTTGCAGTAATAACATGCATTGAGAAAACTGTTAATTTGATTTGAGTTCAAAGCAAGATTTTCAGCTTCAGTTTTTCACACTCTGACATGTCTGTCTCACTGTCTTTGTTTTGTCTTTAGATGTCTCAAAGGTGTTGAAGCCAAAGAGGCTGATGTCACTTAACGGCATGGACAGGTAGATGGCAGTACACATATAATTCCTGACACTGTTAAATCTCTGCTGGGTTCTATGTTCCCTCAGTGTTTGATCGAGATGTTGGAGCTGAATGTTACCTGACAGATCAGTGATACTGTAAACTCCTTCTCTTTTAGTCTTCCTCAAAAGCCATCTGCTGGTCCGCTAACACCTTCTGCTATCACATGCAAGTCACTGCAGATGAAGCCACGACGCCCCTCTGCCCTCCCCACTCCAGTTAGACGCAAGGCTTCACTCATTCCCTCTCCAACGCCCAAACCTCCAGCCCTCTCTGACTCTGTCCCCACCTCATATACCAAGCAGCACAGCTGTAGGTAAGATGCTAGAGGCTGCCTTCTAACTGGTCCTTTGCAGATCACCTGGTTGCTCCTTTGACTTCACATGCAGGTGTGTCATTCTTTATTTGTGTCTATATTTGTGTGTGCACAGCCCCACCCTCACCAATGCACAGGAGGAGGAGGAGCTTATTGATGCACCTGAAATTCAGCCCTTCTGTCTAGAGGATGATCCCCCTACCACCACACCCTCAAACAACCAACAGACTGACCAATCAGAGCCCATGGATCCTGGAGCACTGATTCTGGATGAATCAGTGCCCAATGAAAACCTGATTGAACTGGAGCTTAAAGAGGACAGCAACAGCAAGACACAGGAGGTCAGAGGTCACACAGTATACACCATCATAATACAACAGTTATAATCAGGGAAAAAAATTATTTGAACCCCAGCTGTTTTTGTGATTTTCCCCACTAGCAAAGAAATGATCCTTCTATAATTTCAATGGTAGGTTTATTTGAACAGTGAGAGAAAGAACAATAACAACAAAAATCCAGAAAAGTGCATTTCCAAAAAAATAATTAGCATTTTCATGAAGGACATAAGTATTTGATTTTTGCAAAACACACTTTAGTACTTGATGGCAGAACCTTTGTTGTAAAGCACATGGGTCAGACCTGTTTTGTAGTTGGCCACAAGTTTTGCACACATCTCAGGGGGGATTTTGTCCCACTCCTCTCTGCAGATCCTCTCAAAGTCATTAATGTTTCGTGGCTGATGTTTGGCAACTGGAACCTTCAGCTCCCTCCATAGATTTTCTGTGGGAGTAAGACCTGGGGACTGACTAGGCCACTCCAAGACCTTAACACGCTTCTTCTTTAGCCAAAGTTTCCTCCACATGTTCAGGTTCCAGCGCATAACAGGAACAAGCACTGGTACTCTGGTTATATCACCATATGAGATCAAAGGGTTAAACTACACAAGTCTCCTTTTTTGCTTTAATACCAGGTTCTTCTATTATCGACTCCTTTGAGGTTAAAATGATTTGGAGCCTGACAGATGACCAGATGATTCAGATGCTCTGTAGCTGTATAAGTTGCTTCATAATGGTTTAGAAAACAACAAAAATTATAATGAATTGTTGCCACACACTCAAAGTTCATTTGTTGTCCAGAGTCAAACTCTTGCATCTTCACTTGTTCAGTCTGATCTGCTGGAGCTGCAGAGCAACTTCAGAGATGATCATCTCACACTCAGTTTTTTTGCTCAGGTTCTCCTTTTGGATCTTCCACCACCCACCCTGCCTCCTCAAGAGAAGCTGCTCATTGACTTGACCAACACCCCTGACTTCATCCGGACCAATAATAAGACTTGCAGTGCAGCTCAGGTAACTTTCACCTCATCTGGGGATAACACCCAAGTCCTTTTTAGAATCTATCAGTCTATTTAAATTTGTTCATATACCCATTAAGAATTATTGGGATATTTTAATTGGAATTTTAAGAGAGTAGTTAATGGTGCTTTCAGTTATTGTTTGAATGCTCACTTTTCCCACCGACTATTATTAATTTTTTAACCTGTGATCAGTGATATGCCACACACCTGTAAAGTGAAATACAGAATCATTTGTTTGTCACCAAATTTTCTCACCTTAACTGAAGAACACATTTATGACCTGTACCACATAGTAGACTCAATAATTTTTGAGAGAATTCCTGTAATGGCTACTTTCACCTGCCCTTAACTTCACCTGTCAAGTGACACTGTTAACCACGGTTAACTACACCACTGGATGTCTCAGCAATAATGCTCCAAAACACAAAGATAAATTAAGAGAGGCCCAGTTGAGTGACTACAGCTGGCGAAGGTGAAGAAATGTAATGGCTACAGCTGCCTTTTAAGACTATTTATCGATCAAAGCAGCCATGCCTTCAGTCCAATATCCAGGAAAGACAAACTCCACTAGATTTTTAGTTTTTGAATATGTAGTATTTCAACAGATTTGTTTCACTGTGATGCAGTTTGTTCGTTTGGTGCTTCAGATTTCAGTAACCTTGTACCCAAAGCAGCTCTGTAACTGTGCATTTGTTGTTTTCAGCTGATTGATTTGAGCTCTCCGCTTATCAAGTGGAGTCCTGAGGACAAGACTGAGAACAATGCTCCCCTCATCAACCTGTCCTTCTGATCGTCATCCTCCTTAAGTACTGGATCTGTGCACATTACTGAACCACCACCTCTCCGTCTTCAGAAACTCTAATAATCCAACTGATTCTGAGTTTTTAATCAGTGGAGTCTTTCCTACAGTGGAGTACACAAACATAAATGTTTTACATAAAATATTCTGAAATTGCTCAGGTGTCTCTACAACTAATTGTACTTTTATTTCTCTTGATTTTGCTGCTTATTGTTGGAATAAATCTTGTTAATGATGTTGTAAACACTCCAGTGATCCTGGCTTCCTGAAGTTCACTTGAAGAAGAAATATTTATATAATATGCATAGATAATAATATAGATCAACTTTACTATGTGTTCAAAGTCAGAGTTGCACTGCAGAAAAAGGACTTGTCAGCTGACTGGCAGAACATGGTTTTAGATATAAAAACAGGACAGTTTCATTATCAATGAGGAGGAATTCCTTGAAGTGACAAAGGTGTCACTCGACTGAGACCTGGAGACCTATGAAAGGGAGGTATATAAACATAACATATCTGCAATGCAGGGAATAAGTCGCTTCAATATTCATACACTATCAAAAGTCACTGGAGTTACCTGGTGTTTTATGTAAAAATCAGACAATGTTTGATTTAGGCTAAAATGTGTTTGTGTATGAGAAACGAATGAATCTCACTCATCTTTGCAGTGATGAAATGCAGGCTTCTGAAGAGTTTTTGCAACAATTGCAAGGCAGTAATTGTAGTTTATGGAGAACTGCGACTGTATCAAGATTCAGGGTAGTCGTGAAAATCTAAGATGTGATGAACAATTTCACAAGAAAAAAGAACAGGAAGTTCCAATGAAAACATCTATTGGAAAGTCAAAAGTTGATTTATCTAAGAAATGATGTAAACTGCAGCGTCTCAGGAGGTGTCACGATGCAGTTTAACCTATAAGCCGAATTCTACATGAATCACAACACTTGCAGGTAGAAGTGAGCAGAGGAAAGGACTACAACGTCAAGATGGACAGAGAAATTGCACTTGAAGCTTTGGGTGCAATTTGCAATGCCCAAATCACTTCTGTTCAAAAACAAAGAGCAGATGCTCACGATGGAGCTTTCCAAAGAGCAAGCTTTTCCTGCTCCGCTGCACCAACGCTGTCTGTCAAAACTCTCATTCATACAGTTGCAGATGGAAATCAAACCTGGTAAATATTGTAATATAAACTATTCTTAAGACTTGTGCTGATGTCATTCCTCCAAAAAGGTAACGTGAGTTTTTCAGTTTTTTTGTAGCAGTATATTTGAGTATAAGACTACAGACTCACAGTCAGGATGTAGATTCCAAAGCTCAAACAATTTTGACAACAATGTTGCAGTTTGGTTTGCAGAGAGCGAGAAAACATCCAGTGAAAGAGCAGCATTTCTTTTCTTCTTTTGTTGATGGTCAGAAGGTTTATTCTGACCCTAATCTCAGCTGTCTTTCTCAACTTGCAGCCCGATGTCAAGAAACAACTTTGTCAGAATTCAACATGTTGTGCAAGATGAAGTCAAACAGAAACGTAACGGCTACATCTTCCTTTCAAGACCCTCAAAAATATTTTAGATGAGGGTTTTTTGAATATGTAGTATTTTAACAGATTTGTTTCACTGTGATGCAGTTTGTTCGTTTGGTGCTTCAGATTTCAGTAACCTTGTACCCAAAGCAGCTTTGTAACTGTGCATTTGTTGTTTTCAGCTGATTGATTTGAGCTCTCCGCTTATCAAGTGGAGTCCTGAGGACAAGACTGAGAACAATGCTCCCCTCATCAACCTGTCCTTCTGATCGTCATCCTCCTTAAGTACTGGATCTGTGCACATTACTGAACCACCACCTCTCCGTCTTCAGAAACTCTAATAATCCAACTGATTCTGAGATTTTAATCAGTGGAGTCTTTCCTACAGTGGAGTACACAAACATAAATGTTTTACATAAAATATTCTGAAATTGCTCAGGTGTCTCTACAACTAATTGTACTTTTATTTCTCTTGATTTTGCTGCTTATTGTTGGAATAAATCTTGTTAATGATGTTGTAAACAAGGCCCAAGACCATTAAGACATTTAAAAACCAATAAAAGAACCTTAAAATCGATCCTGAAACACACGGGGAGCCAATGCAGCGATTCTAAAACCGGTGTAATGTGGGCCCGCCCTCTGGTCTTCGTCAGCACACGAGCTGCTGAGTTTTGCAAAAGTTGTAAAGTTGAAATATTCTTCTTAGGAAGACCAGAGAGCAGGGCGTTACAGTAATCAATGCGACTGGTAATAAAAGCATGCATCAGCATCTCTGTGTTGGCCCGAGAGAGAATAGGGCGGACTCTGACTATATTTTTTAGATGATAAAATCCAATTTTGGTTACATGTTTAATATGTGGGATAAAACCAAGCTCAGAGTCAAAAATAACACCCAGGTTTTTCACTTGTAGCAAAGGACATAGTGAAAATGCCTGTAATTTAGACAAGAGTTTCTCTCTCTGAGCCTCGGGACCGACGATTAAAACTTCAGTTTTGTCCTGGTTAAGCTGTAAAAAGTTTTCTGCCATCCAAGATCTTATATTTAAAATACAGTTTAAAAAATGGCATGTCGCTGCAGGATCTATTTGTCCATAAATGCCTGATTCACACAGTCTTCTCTGAACAGTTGATGTAGAGATGAGTCTGCTACTGGAACTCTGTGACATTTATCTGGGCTCTAATCTGAGGTGCTGCTAACTTGTGATTTCTGAGGCTGGTGACTCACATGAATTTATCCTCAGCACAGAGGTCGTCCTTTCCTGGGGTGGTCCTCATGTGAGCCAGTTTCATCATAGCGCATGATGGTTTTTGCAGCTGAACTTGGGGACAGATGACCTTCAGTTCTTAAAATATTGATGCACTGTTGTTTGTCTTTACTTAGCTGATTGGTTCTTGCCATTATATGAATTCTAACAATTGTCATACATCATGAAGCTTATTGAGAGATGGCCAAGGGTTTGCAGCGCTGTCAACAAAGCTAAGGGTGACTACTTTCAGGAATCTGAGACAAAAAAACATAAAACATATTTAGAGTTATTTATCCTTTTTTTTTTCTTTGCTCCATAATTCCATATATCTAGTTTTGTACATTTAATGTCTTCAGTTTGTATCTACAATGTAGAAAGTAGTAAAAATAAAGAAAAAACATTAAATGAGAGTGTGTACATGAGAGGACACCCTACCATGTAATTCATCTAGTGATGTGGGGCCACAGATGTTGACATAGGGAAGTGAGACACACATGAACAAAGGATTCTACCTGTTCTGGGCGCACACTTACAAATGTGACATCTTTCTTCTACTGTTTCCATTGGTAACTATATTTGGGGAACTCAAAGCACTGTAATTTAAGTAAAATACCATGGAAAGTACTCCAGAAGTTGCAGGCTGTAATTGATGCCACTGAATTTTTGTTGAACATAAATCTGCAATTGCAAGAAGTAGTGTCAACAGACCACAGGAAGGGGGAAGTTTGGCCACAGGGTGAGAAAAATATGTACATCCTTTTTCACTTTAATTCAGTTTGTACAGAGCAAAAAATTCCAGAAGAAGTTCAACTGTCCTTTTCTTTTTGTGAAGGTCAAAAAGTCAAGAAAAGTCAGAGCACGAGAAGTAGGCAAAAGCCAAGGGACGCTTGGACCTTTATTTTATCCCCCTGCCCTCTTATCATTTATCATCCACTCCAAAAAAACAAGTTTCCTCCTTTTTAAAAAAATAAATAAACAAGAGCTAATTCTTGCAGGCTTGCTGAATCCAACTTCTGCAAATGAAACCGAGGTTACTGAATAATTGTAATAATGGTATTTTGTTTTTAAAATGGTAAACTGTGACTGTACTAAGATTCAGGGTGTGGATGCAGTTGTGAAAGTCTAAGAGATGATGAATAATTTTGCAACTGGAAAAAAGAGAAGAACAGAAAGTTCCAATGAAAACACACCTATTGGAAGGTCAAAAAGTCAAAAGTTGATTTATCTAAGAAATTATGCAAACTGGGTTTACGTCATAAACAGTGTAACATATAAGCCCAATTCTGCACGAGCCACAACACTTGCAGGTAGAAGTGAGCAGAGCAAAGGACTACAACGTCAAGATGGACAGAGAAATTGCACTTGAAGCTTTGGGTGCAGTTTGCAATGCCCAGATCACTTCTGTTCAAAACCAAAGAGCAGGAGGTCACGCTGGAGTTTTCCAAAGAGCAAGCTTTCCTGGCTCAGCAGCACCAACGCTGTCTATAAACAGTCTCATTTGTGCAATCGCAGATGGAGATCAAACCTGGTAAATATTGTAATATTATAAACTATTCTTAAGACTTGCGCTGATGTCATTCCTCAAAAAGGGAACGGGAAGAGTTCTCAAATTTTTTTTGTAGCAGTATATTATATTGGAGTAATGGTGCAACATGGTGGCACAGTGGTTAGCACTGTTGCCTCACAGCAAGAAGGTCAATTCCACCATTTGGGGTCCTTCTGTGTGCATGTTCTCCCCATGTTCTACTTTGGCTTCCTCCCACTATCCAAAGACCTGCAGTTAGTGGGCATAGGTTAACTGGAAACTCTAAATTGCCCTAAGGCAGCTGGGATAGGCTCCAGCACCCCCCTCCACAAAACACTGAAAAGGATAAGAGGATGGATGGGATATTATATTGAGATTCACAGTCAGGATGTAGTTTCTAAAGCTCAAAGAATTTTGACAACAATGTTGCAGTTTGGTTTGCAGAGAGTGAGAAAACATCCAGTGAAAGAGCAGCATTTCTTTTCTTTTGTTGATGGTCAGGTTTATTCAGACCCTAATCTCAGCTGTCTTTCTCAACTTGCAGCCCAGTGTCAAGAAACAACTTTGCCAGAATTCAACGTGTTCTGCAAGATGGAGGGCAATGTTCAGGCTCTGACACCTGTTTTCGAACTGCACCACAAGAAAGGTCTTTCATCATCGATGAGAGCGAATTCTTTGATCCAACATTTGACTACGATTTCTCTGGTCTCCAAGACACAGAGACCTATTACAGAGGCGGAGAGGTGTATGAACGACCAAGTGGTTGGTACCGTTTTGCCCTCAAGGTAAATTTGTCTTTGAATTGAGATCAGCATCAACCATTTTATTCATGCTCATTACTTAGAGTCTAAGCTGCTTTAATTGATCTTTAAGCCGGGCTGTAGAGCACAAATTCAATGACATCCCAGTAAAATACTTTTTGGGCTTCAGATATTTGCAATCATTAGAAAGTTGAAACTTCTGG